GCCCAGAAGTGGAATTGCTGGGTCATAGGAAATTTCTATATTTTTACTTCCTGAGGAAGCTCCACACTGCTTTGCGTAGTGGCTGCACCAACGCATTCTCACCAATAGTGCACAAGGGTTCCCTCTGCTCCACAACCTCACCAACACTTGTTATCTCTTATCTTTTTTTTCTTAAGGAAGATTGGCCCTGAGCTAACATCTGTGCCCATCTTCCTCTACTTTATATGTGGGGCACCTGCCACAGCATGGCTTGATGAGTGGTGCATAAGTTTCCCACCAGGGATCCGAACCAGTGAGCCCCGGGCTGCCAAAGTGGAATGCGTGGACTTAACTGCTGTGCCACTGGGCCAGCCCCTGGGATCTCTTATCTTTTTGATAATAGCCATTCTAACAGGTGCTAAGTGATATCTCCCGACTGAGAACCACTGCTCCAGAAGTTTCCCTCGTGTTCTTTTTCCAGACGTTGTCCCCAGAACATTATTCTGACATCCATCTCCGTCCATCAGTCTCGCCTGTTCTTGAATTGTTATAAATAGAAACATATGATGCCTCGCCTTGTGGTCTTGTGTGGATTATATAACATCTTTGTGCATCGGTTTCTTCCTCTGTGAAATGGGTTGATGAGTGCACCACCTCATAGAGATACCACGAGAATCAAATGAGCCATTAAGCTCTGTGAAGGGTGGAACTCAGAGAAAACATTGAGTAAATGCCACTTGTTAATACTGTGGTTTAATGTCGACACTCTCCACCCCTGGTGCCTTTCTTGCCCTGATGCTTGGCATACAGTAGGTGATCAGTAGACATTACTATTATTGTTGTCATTACTGCTGCCGTGGGGCAGCGGGGATTTGAACCCAGGCCGCCTCCAGTGCCCATCTCATTCCCTCTGGATTTCGAAGCCTGACAATCCAGCCTTGCCCGTTCTCCCACATGGAAACTCCTTTCACAAAAATCACTGAGAGAGCCAGCCCCGATGTCTAGTGGTTGAAGTTCAGTGGTCACTGCTTCAGCAGCCCAGATTCCTTTCCCAGTGGCAGAACCACACCATCTGTCTGTCAGTAGCCATGCTGTGGTGGTGGCTTACATAGAAGAACCAGAAACACTTACAACTAGAATATACATCCATACTCTGGGGCTTTGGGGAAAAGAATTAAAAAAAAAGAGGATGATTGGCAACAGATGTTAGCTCAGAGAGAATCCTTCCCTACAAAAAAATAAAAAATCATTACTGAGAGTGTCTCTTGAGTTTCCTCTACTTCTGCCTTTTTTTGTGACGTTTGCAGGGAGACTCTCTCTTGTCCTCAAAACCCACTCCTCCTGCTGGTTCAGTGATGACATCAAGAGTTTCTCCTCCCACTTCTCTGACCATGCCCCTCCATCTCTACCTCTAGCTTCCCTCTCTCTTTCTGCCCAGGCAGTGTCCTCAGCCCTCTGTCTGTCTTGCTTGGCCAGCCCAGCCCAGCCCTGACCTTGCCCCTCTGCCCCCAGCAATGCCACCTGATAGGCAAGGCCGGCTCAGGCTCTGGTCAGTCTGGGAACAGTAGGAGCCTTTGCTCTTTCTCTGATGCTGTGGTTCCCTCCAAGCATGCAGAGAAGGGCAGGCGGAATCCGAGAGGAGGGCAAGCAGGAACGTATCTCCGTCATCCCCAATTCCCAAGCGGTCCTGCTGACATAGATAAATCCTTTTCGGGGCAGAAAGGGGCCTACGGGTCCTAATCTATCTCTGTCATTGGTGCAGGAACCACTAAGCTGGGAGAGACAGAACAAAGAGACGCAAAGGGTATTTGTAGTCAAGATTAAGTAACTAAATACAAATATTATTGTTATCTTAAATAATCAAGATTATTTATGGTGGGCACGCTCAGATCCCAGACCAGCGTTATCCAGTAGAAAGAGAACCCAAGTTGCATATGTCATGACAGATTTTCCAGCAGCCATGTTAAGAAAGTAAAAAGGACACTGGTGAGTGAATTTTAATCATATATTTTATTTAACCTGATAGACCCAAATATTTATCATTTCAATAAGTGACCTGTATAAAATTGACCAAGAAGATGTTTTACATTCTTTTTCTCATACTATGTCTTTTAAATCTGGTGTGCATTTTAATCTTGGTAGAGCATCCCAATTCAGACATTGGGTTTTTAATCTGAACTGCTAGATCTGTGTTTAGATGGTATGAAATTCCAGTTGAAAAAGTACGCTCACTTGCCTGAGCTGTTCCAAGCCTACTCACATGGTTGCCAATAACTGCACTGATGAGAGTTTTCTTTTTTTAATTAAGACTAAATAAAATTTAAAGTTGATTCTTCAGTCACACCAGTTACCTGGGGCTCATAGTGGTCCTGTTGGATGGCACAAATGTAGAACATGAATATTATCATAGAAAGTTCCAGTCCACAACAGCCCAGCTTTGGACCAGGGTTCCTCAGTGGTACTATTGACATTTGGGGCTGGATAATTCATTGTCAAGGGGGCCTGTCCTGTGCACCAACGTCCCTGTCTTCTGCCCGCTAGATGCCAATAGCAGCCTCTCTTCCTGCCATGACAACCAAGAAAGACTCCAGGCATTGCCAAATGTCCCCTAGGGGAAGAAAATAACCCTTGGGTGAGAAACACTGTGCTAGATCAAAGCCGAGTTCAAATCCTAGCTCTGCTACGTGCTAGCTGAGTGACTTTGGACAAATCCTTGAGCCTTGGCGTTCTCATCCATGCAATGGGGGCAACAACTAGCAACCATGGAATGGTGTTGGAATGGAATTCCATGGAATGGAATTGGTGTGAGGATAAAACCCAGCTTCAGCATCGTGGTGATGACTGGAAGCAATGCCCAGCGCATAGGAGATGTTAAATAAACAGTGGCTGTGTTCACCCATCGTGAACCTAAACCGTTTAAGCTCTGCGTGCCCCTCTTCAAAGTGATGCAGCTCCTGGATCCTGAGGCCTCACAGACCGGTGATGCTCGGAGGTGCTCTCTCTCGCTTCCTAGAGAAAGAAGAATTGAATCACTTAATGGGAAGATTTTGGGAGTCCAGGGCTCTGGGGTCTAGTCTGAGGTCTATCATTGATCTTGCAGGTCCTAATGCCTTTGGGGGGCCCAATTTTCCCCTCTGTGAGATGGGGGGAGTAGAGCACAGTGATCTTGCACAGGACCTACTGACTTGGCACTTGTTTCTCTGTGATTGTTTTCTTAAGAAAGGGAGGGGGTCCCTGGGCAGAGAAGCAAGGGAGGGGGTGTGGACAAAACCCAGACTCCACTTCCGTCTTTCCTCTGGAACACATCCTTCTCTCCACCTCCTGTGGCCCCGCTGACTCCAGCTTGTCCTTCAGGTCTTGGTGTATGTGGCATCTCCTCTGGGAAGACTTCCCTGATTCCCTGCCCCCTCTCAGTCTGGGCCTGGCATCTCCCACTTACATCTGTGCTTCTGCCACCCCAGCTCAATCCCCTGCACTTGCTCATCTGTCCATCTGGGCCAGGCTGTGTGCCTGGAGTGGAGTTGGGGCCTGAGGTATGAATCTGTCCTGAGAATGAATGAATGAACGAGAGTAGGGCAAGCAGACGGGAGAGAGTAGGTTAGCAGGAAGTTTCCTGGGACGCAGAAGGCCCTGGGAGTTTCTGCTAAGCTTGCCCTGGCCCCAGATGCATGCAGTTTGGCTCCGGGTACAAGAAGCAGGAGTGGTATGAGGCCCGCTGGAGTGTCCACTGCCTGCCACCTTGGCACTGTGCATCTGTAAGCACCTTCGCCTGGATGAGAAGATAAACCCACCTGTCAGGCTGTTAGAGGCGTGTGAGGAGGGGTGGGAGAGAGGGAAGGGTGAGGGTTTCCTCAGTGCTTGGATGAGGGAGGAGTGTGGGGGGCACTGAGGAGCATGGTACCCAAGGAGGATCTCCCTGGCAATCTGTGCTGGGCAGATGGCAGGAGAGAGGCCGTTTCTGGGGTGCTTTCTTATCATCCCAGCCCAAGCCCGGGATGATAAGAAACCTGTGGGGGCTGTGGTCTTGTCAAAGAGGAGGCAGAGGGTCGGCCCCGTGGCCGAGTGGTTAAGTTCGGGCACTCCGCTTTGGCGGACCACGGTTTCACCGGTTCGGATCCTGGGCGCGGACATGGCACCGCTCATCATGGCCATGTTGAGGTGGCGTCCCACATGCCACAACTAGAAGGACCACAACTAAAATATACAACTATGTACTGGGGGATTTGGGGAAAAAGCAGGGAAAAAAAAAGGAAGGAGAAGATTGGCAACAGTTGTTAGCTCAGGTGCCAATCTTTTTTTAAAAAAAAAAAAGAGAAGGCAGAATCCCAAATCCATTTCCTGCCCCCACGCCAGCCACTCATGCTCCTCTCTGTTCCTGGCAGGGGCAACTGATGGGCTTGGCTGGGGAGTGAGTCCCTGCAGCCCCTGTGGTTGCCATGGGGGCCTAGAGGCGGAGAGGGGTGGCAAGGGGTGGTGAGGGGTGACTCTTAGGGGCTCCCCAAAGTTACATTAAGCCCGGCCCTCAGCTCCCCTAGCAGCCAGGGAGTTCTCACACGGGAATGCATTATCATTTCCGCTCCCCCACATTCCAAAACCCTCAGAGCCAGCCATGCCTCCCCCAGGGAGTGTCCACCCAGCTCTTGTCTGGTAGTGCCAGCCCCTGAGCAAAAAGGTGTCAGGTAGAACCTAGGGGGCTTTGAAGAATGGCACAGATCTATGTTCAGGTCCCTGTCCTCCTTTAAGCCCGGACAGACCCACGGGGGTCTTTCGGTTTGGCAACAGATGTGGAAGTCAGGCTTTTCTGGTGGATAAGGGTCCCCTCGTGCCCCTCCTCACAGAGTATCCACCAGCAGGTGTTAGTCACCACTCGGGCACTCAATAATGCCAGCTGACCTTTGCCAGCAGCGGCACCACGGCTCGGGCAGGCCCTGCCCCTCTTGGGAAGCTCAGCAAGGCGTGTCCTTACCGCCCTCCCAGGAGCAGGGGCCAGGCTGGGCTGGCTTCAGTTTCAGGGACTTGTTCAAGGGTGAGGAGCACAGCCAGGTGGGCGGGCAGCAGCATGGACCGGGAGGGCCCCCGGCACCCGGGATGCCACCGGCGCGGGCACCTGCTGGCTCTGACTGTCACTCTCCTCCTCACCTGCGGGCCAGGTAAGTAGAGCTGGGCTGGGGCCAGTGGAGGAGTCAGGCAGATTCCTGGAGGAGAAGAGCAGATGTGGCAGGTGCCTCAGGCTTCCCAAGCCCCCACGGGGGCAACCAGGAGGTCTTTTGCTTTTTGGCAAAGGCCTAAATCACAGCCGGCAGGTAAGGCTGCCTTTTCTGGACTGACTTAGGCAAGTTCACAAAACTTCTCCTTTGTGTATCAAGTATCTGCCAGGATCAGTGGAGACACCCAGGCATTCCTTCATTCATTGGCTCCCTCACACGCTCATTCCTAGGGTTTCTTAACTGACACCTGCGCTCCCAGCACCTGTGCCCAGCTCTCAGGAGGGAAATGAGCAAGTCGCACCTCTGGGCTTCCCAGAGCTCCAGGCTGGTGGGTGAGGCAGACAGGTACCCAGTCCCCGGGAGTACGAGGCTGAGCAGGAGTTTTGCCATCTTAGGGGCCCTGAGAGGAGGTGTTGGGGTTGGTGGGGATTTCTACAGACATGCTTAGCAGAAGAGGAGGAAGGGACCCTCCCGGCAGGAAGAACTCAGTGGGCAGTGGGCAGGAGGCAGGAAGCTGCCAGGTGGGTTTGGGTAGTTCAGTGTCACGTGATCGCATGTGGGCTGCGTGACGGGGGGGATGCTGAGGGGAGAGGTGGAAGCAGACAGGCAGCCTGTGAGGGTTGGGGAGGTGTGTTCTTACATCCCAAGGGGGACTTTGCAGGCCTGTTGCTCATATTGAGGATCAGCTGATCAGTTTGGATCTTGCTGTCCAGAGAAAGCCCACTGGCCTCAGGGAATGGTTTTGGTGTTGGTGGGAGGGACCATGCTCTCTACACTACAGAGAGAAGGTCCATGATCCTCCACATGTGGCTTCCAGGGCTGCCCAGACCCCCAGACTGTTTTGCTCCCACAGTCAGGACTTTCCAGCCAAATCCCTCTAGTGTCTAAGGTAACCTGAGGCTTGTAAAAAGGGAGCATCTATGATGTACGAGGTGCTTAAATCTCTGTTCATTTACTCGTCCCAGGAGAAAGGACTGTCCTCAAAGCTTGGCTGGGAAACGGAGGGCCTGAAGGAGAGTCGTGGTGGGAGCATCTTGCTTCCCCATCCTGAGAGGCAGCCTGGGAGCCACCTGTGGGGGGTGGGGGAGGGGGGCGGGAGGGGGAGGCTGCAGCTCCTGGAGCAGGTGGGGAGAGTGCCCCAGTCCCCCAGTCCTGAGTCACCAGCTCTGGCCCCAGGAAAAGCTTTGTGGTTGGATGCCATTGTGAGGCATCCACACAATGACCTGAATGGTGGGCGGGTTTGTACGGGACAATCTCACCACCTCCGATGGGGTGTGTCCCACTGACCTGTCCCCAAAGCACGTTGCCACAGACAGAGGCTGTTTAACTGCTTGTGTCCCCGAGGTTCACTCAGAGTCTGATGCTGGGGACTCTTCGAACTGGGTAGACCCCTGCTTCTGTCCCAGAGATTGTTGGTCACCTCAGTTATGGGTTGATATCCCTCCCGACCGCCCCATCATTTCCACAGTACACAGAACATCTCTCAGGACCTGGATTCCCCTGGAATCAGTCCAGACCCCCTCTAGGACTACTGATTTAAATGCTGGAAAAAGCTCCCTTAATCCCTGAGCAGGGATGAAAAGAAATTTAAATCCAGCACTGACAGGCTGTGTGTCCTTGGGCTGGATACCCAACCTCTCTGAGTTTCCATCTGTCGAAAGAGTCATTAAAAAAAAATTCAGAGCTGGAGGAAATTTATTCCTCACTCACCTCTCCCTCCACCCTGAACCCTGTCTGTTTGTCTGTCTTCTTCCACACTGGTATCCTGTGCTCTTCCCCTCCTTGCCCCTGGGGCTGAGACACCCCAAGATCCCAAAAGACCTCAGTAACTATCATTTTGTATTACGCATCTACTGTGTGTCAGGGAGTTATCTGTGTTATCTTGATTGAGCCTGCGTAGGTGAGAAGAGGGGTGCCTTTGCCTCTCATTTTACAGAAGAGGGAACTGAGGCTCAGGGAGGTTAAGCCTTTTGATTAAATCACACAGCAAGGATCTGAATCCCAGTTTCTAGATGATTCTTAAGCCCCAAACTTCACCCTCTGCCTGGGAAGAGACTGAGGGTTGACAAAGATTTCTCCTCTCCTGGCAGCTTCCTGGCACTTGGTTACTTGACCCCCAGGGAAGACAAGTGGCCCTCTTCTGCCGCCCCTCCCAACAGGGCTCCCCGAGGGCCCTGATGGCATAGAGCATATAAAGATCACGCTGTGCTCTGCTGAGCATCTTCCTGGGTCCCTGGACAGGGGTCATTATCCCAGCCTGGGCCTGGCCAGAGATATCGAGTTCCGTGGAGGGGGATTGTGAAAGGAGGGGGCATCGATGGGAGCAGGTGCACGCGCGGAGGGTGTTAGGAGCTGACCTGCTCTGGCCAGAATTTTAGTTCATCTTTCACACCTGTGACGTGTCTCCAGGAAAAGAGGAAAAATTTGCTGACGCTCCCCCTGATCCTCAAGGGACAGAGTCACCTTTCTTTCCAGTTACTGGGTGGCCTCCCTCGAAAGGAATGTACTGGGTCCAGCTGGGCGTGGCAGGGCAGCCCTGGGGTTCTTCACGCCAACTTGTCCTTCTGGTCACTTGACGCTCCCAGGGCTGCCACAGGTCGTTCTTCTTCTGGAAGACCCAAAGTTTCAGAAGGCTAGACACCATGGCTCAACTGGGAACCCATCCACTCTGCACAATAGACTCAGTGGTTGAGATGACCAGCCCCATTTTTCAGGTGAGGGGACAGAAGCTCAAAGAGGAAGGTCCCCCCGTAGACAGAGAAGAGCTGAGCTTTGAGCTCAGGTTGTCTGACTCCAAACACCCCACTCTGCATCTTCCTGCCACTGACCAGGTCGGACTCCTCGGCACAGGTACCAACCTATCTCCTCATCTTCCTGCTCAGAGCTCAGAGCTGTCCTCAGGGGTCTTAACTCATCATAGGCCCAGAGCTGTGGGGGGCAAGGAGCAGGTCAGGAGGGCACACCCTGGGAGGGTGACCAACCAACCGTCCTGGTTTGCCTGAGAATGAAGGAGTCCTGGGGAAGTGGGACTTTAAGTTCTAAAATTGAGAAAGTCCAGGGCGAACTGAGATACATCCACCCTGGTCCGTTTCCTGTACTTATTCCATTCCTGGCACCACTTCTGCAGCTTGTCCCAGCCCCTGGCACACAGTAGATGTGTAGTAAATATTTGTTGCATGAATGAAGGAGGCAAAATCTCACTTGGTGAGAACTACTGTTCGACTACCTCATTCTCCAAAGTCACAACAGATGCCATGACGCCCTGGGGGACGCAAGCTCATCTGCAGAGTGCAAAGCAAATACGCCAACTTCTCGGGCTGCCAGCCTTGGCGTGAAGACAAGCAAACATCTTCTCTGACAGCTGCAGCCTCCTCTGAGAGCCCCAAGACAAACCCGGCCCTCGGTTCCCCAGAGGTTCCTATAGAAGCATCCAGCTTTGCCACCTCTCCCTCTGCAACCCTCTTCATCCCTGCAGGGCACTCTGAAGGAGCCTCTGCGTTTGCGTCAAGAGGTACCCACAGGCACTGCCTCTTCATCCAGGGCTCTGTCCTTGATCCCATCCTGGTTTAGCTCCTCTGTCTTGGGAACATCCTCAGGGACTATATCCAGACTATTTTTTGAGTCCCTACCCTCTCAACAGCTGTGTCTCTGAGAAGCATGGCTCTTCTGGGGCCACGTTCCTTGGAGGGTGCCCTGGACACAGAGGACAGCCTCCCAAGTCGGGGAGAAATGTGGCTGGAGGAGGGTCAATCCTTAGACGTTGCCTCCTTCCAGCGTCACTCAGTTTGCAAGGAATGAGCCACCACCCTCACCATGTGCTGGAAGCATGGAGGTGGCAGCTTCCTCCTCAGTGGCTGAGCAGGAATCCTGAATTATGGCCGCATTTCTGTTTCAGGATCTGTTCTGGGCTGTCTGCAACTCCCTCCTTCCTAGATTCCTTATCCTCATCTTCACACTCAGCTTCATTTCTGCTTTCATCCTTTGCTGCATCCTCATCATCTTATCAACATTATCATCATTACTGATAAGAAACAATCTAGCTGTAGGGGCATTCTTTTTTAAAAATCTTGAGTCTCTAAGCCTTGTGTGCTAGTCAGCATCCCTTGGGTTTTCAAGAGCAAACTCCTGCAAGGTCCCCAGGAGTCTGGGAGTCCTGCCCCCTTATCTCCAGGGAAGGCATTTATATCTGATGGCACTCCAGCTGCTTATAAGCAAGGGTAAGGAGTCTCAGCTCATGGGTTAGGAGAGCCTGCGATTTGCCTGCCCAGGAGGGAGAACCAGTCCTATGGCATCCGCGACCTGGCAGGGTGGATGAAACCACACATAGAGGTGTTCCCAGCAGCACTTAGGAGTGAGATGTGGAGTCCGAAAAACACAGCCCCAGATGTCAGCTTTGCCCTTCGTTTGGCTATGTTACCATGGAAAGTGACTTCACCACTCTGTGCCTCAGTTTATCAAAATGGAAACAATTTCACTGACTAAAGGAGAAAGAATATATAAAGTGCCCAGCATGGATAGCCCCTTGACCATTCAGAAATGGGGACTAAAGATAATAAGACCAAGAAGTCTCAGGAGACAACAAATTCTGGACCTGCAGGTCGCTGCACCCTTTTCTACACTTTCCTTATGTCCATCCTCTGGGGCTCATTCCTGCTTTCTGGGGAGGCACGATTGAGCACTTGGCTCAGTGGGACCTTGGCAGGTGAGAGCGACCTGCATCTTAGAAGTGCCCAGGTCAGTGCTCCGCCCCTCTACTAAACTTCAAGGGTGGAGAACACCCTAACCTGGACCCTGTGAGAGAACACAACAGGACTATGCTTAGGGCAGGACAGAAGGTCGCAGAGAAGTCAGGTCACAACAGGACAGGATGTGGACACTGGCTCCAGAGCCCATCCCGCTACGAAGCCGATCACTGCTAACCCTTGGAGCAAGACAAGGAGGCA